CCTCTCAGTCTACCTCCCTCAGTCTCCCTCTCAGTCTTCCTCCCTCAGTCTCCCTGTGGTCTCCCTCTCAGTCTTCCTCCCTCAGTCTCCCTGTGGTCTCCCTCTCAGTCTTCCTCCCTCAGTCTCCCTGTGGTCTCCCTCTCAGTCTCCCTCCCTCAGTCTCCCTGTGGTCTCCCTCCCTCAGTCTCCCTCCCTCAGTCTCCCTGTGGTCTCCCTCTCAGTCTCCTTGGGTCTCCCTCTCAGTCTTCCTCCCTCAGTCTCCCTCTGGTCTCCCTCTCAGTCTTCCTCCCTCAGTCTCCCTGTGGTCTCCCTCTCAGTCTCCCTCCCTCAGTCTCCCTGTGGTCTCCCTCTCAGTCTTCCTCCCTCAGTCTCCCTGTGGTCTCCCTCTCAGTCTCCCTCCCTCAGTCTCACTCTGGTCTCCCTCCCTCAGTCTCCCTCTGGTCTCCCTCTCAGTCTCCCTGTGGTCTCCCTCTCAGTCTTTCCTCCCTCAGTCTCCCTCTGGTCTCCCTCTCAGTCTTCCTCCCTCAGTCTCCCTGTGGTCTCCCTCTCAGTCTTCCTCCCTCAGTCTCCCTGTGGTCTCCCTCCCTCAGTCTCCCTCCCTCAGTCTCCCTGTGGTCTCCCTCTCAGTCTTCCTCCCTCAGTCTCACGCTGGTCTCCCTCCCTCAGTCTCCCTCTGGTCTCCCTCTCAGTCTCCCTCCCTCAGTCTCACGCTGGTCTCCCTCCCTCAGTCTCCCTCTGGTCTCCCTCTCAGTCTCCCTCCCTCAGTCTCACGCTGGTCTCCCTCCCTCAGTCTCCCTGTGGTCTCCCTCTCAGTCTCCCTCCCTCAGTCTCACGCTGGTCTCCCTCCCTCAGTCTCCCTCTCAGTCTCCCTCCCTCAGTCTCACTCTGGTCTCCCTCCCTCAGTCTCCCTGTGGTCTCCCTCTCAGTCTCCCTCCCTCAGTCTCACGCTGGTCTCCCTCCCTCAGTCTCCCTCTCAGTCTCCCTCCCTCAGTCTCACTCTGGTCTCCCTCCCTCAGTCTCACTCTGGTCTCCCTCCCTCAGTCTCCCTCTGGTCTCCCTCTCAGTCTCCCTCCCTCAGTCTCACGCTGGTCTCCCTCCCTCAGTCTCCCTCTCAGTCTCCCTCCCTCAGTCTCACTCTGGTCTCCCTCTCAGTCTCCCTCCCTCAGTCTCACTCTGGTCTCCCTCCCTCAGTCTCCCTCTGGTCTCCCTCTCAGTCTCCCTCCCTGGACCAATGTACCTTATAAAACATTAGCATTAGCATTAGCACAGTGCTGTCTGTCCTGAGCAGTGGGGGCGTGCGCTGACATGCTGCAGTACCACCCCGGGCCGATGGGGGTGGACCCGGAATAAGAATTAGCCAATAGCCAATGCTATATGTTAGCATTAACATACTGAGGCTGTAGACCCAGGACTGAGGCTGTAGACCCAGAACTGAGACTGCAGATCCAGGACTGAGGCTGTAGATCCAGGACTGAGGCTGTAGATCCAGGACTGAGGCTGTAGACCCAGGACTGAGGCTGTAGACCCAGGACTGAGGCTGTAGACCCAGAACTGAGACTGCAGATCCAGGACTGAGGCTGTAGATCCAGGACTGAGGCTGTAGATCCAGGACTGAGGCTGTAGACCCAGGACTGAGGCTGTAGATCCAGGACTGAGGCTGTAGATCCAGGACTGAGGCTGTAGATCCAGGACTGAGGCTGTAGACCCAGGACTGAGGCTGTAGATCCAGGACTGAGGCTGTAGACCCAGGACTGAGGCTGTAGATCCAGGACTGAGGCTGTAGACCCAGGACTGAGGCTGTAGATCCAGGACTGAGGCTGTAGATCCAGGACTGAGGCTGTAGATCCAGGACTGAGGCTGTAGATCCAGGACTGAGGCTGTAGATCCAGGACTGAGGCTGTAGATCCAGGACTGAGGCTGTAGATCCAGGACTGAGGCTGTAGATCCAGGACTGAGGCTGTAGATCCAGGACTGAGGCTGTAGATCCAGGACTGAGGCTGTAGATCCAGGACTGAGGCTGTAGATCCAGGACTGAGGCTGTAGACCCAGGACTGAGGCTGTAGATCCAGGACTGAGGCTGTAGACCCAGGACTGAGGCTGTAGATCCAGGACTGAGGCTGTAGACCCAGGACTGAGGCTGTAGACCCAGGACTGAGGCTGTAGACCCAGGACTGAGGCTGTAGATCCAGGACTGAGGCTGTAGACCCAGAACTGAGACTGCAGATCCAGGACTGAGGCTGTAGATCCAGGACTGAGGCTGTAGATCCAGGACTGAGGCTGTAAACCCAGGACTGAGGCTGTAGATCCAGGACTGAGGCTGTAGATCCAGGACTGAGGCTGTAGATCCAGGACTGAGGCTGTAGACCCAGGACTGAGGCTGTAGACCCAGGACTGAGGCTGTAGATCCAGGACTGAGGCTGTAGACCCAGGACTGAGGCTGTAGATCCAGGACTGAGGCTGTAGATCCAGGACTGAGGCTGTAAACCCAGGACTGAGGCTGTAGATCCAGGACTGAGGCTGTAGATCCAGGACTGAGGCTGTAGATCCAGGACTGAGGCTGTAGACCCAGGACTGAGGCTGTAGATCCAGGACTGAGGCTGTAGACCCAGGACTGAGGCTGTAGACCCAGGACTGAGGCTGTAGATCCAGGACTGAGGCTGTAGACCCAGAACTGAGGCTGCAGATCCAGGACTGAGGCTGTAGATCCAGGACTGAGGCTGTAGACCCAGGACTGAGGCTGTAGATCCCAGGACTGAGGCTGTAGACCCAGGACTGAGGCTGTAGATCCAGGACTGAGGCTGTAGATCCAGGACTGAGGCTGTAGATCCAGGACTGAGGCTGTAGATCCAGGACTGAGGCTGTAGATCCAGGACTGAGGCTGTAAACCCAGGACTGAGGCTGTAGATCCAGGACTGAGGCTGTAGATCCAGGACTGAGGCTGTAGATCCAGGACTGAGGCTATAGATCCAGGACTGAGGCTGTAAACCCAGGACTGAGGCTGTAGACCCAGGACTGAGGCTGTAAACCCAGGACTGAGGCCGTAGACCCAGGACTGAGGCTGTAGACCCAGGACTGAGGCTGTAGATCCAGGACTGAGGCTGTAGATCCAGGACTGAGGCTGTAGATCCAGGACTGAGGCTGTAGACCCAGGACTGAGGCTGTAGACCCAGGACTGAGGCTGTAGACCCAGGACTGAGGCTGTAGATCCAGGACTGAGGCTGTAGATCCCAGGACTGAGGCTGTAGACCCAGGACTGAGGCTGTAGACCCAGGACTGAGGCTGTAGACCCAGGACTGAGGCTGTAGACCCAGGACTGAGGCTGTAGACCCAGGACTGAGGCTGTAGACCCAGGACTGAGGCTGTAGACCCAGGACTGAGGCTGTAGACCCAGGACTGAGGCTGTAGACCCAGGACTGAGGCTGTAGATCCAGGACTGAGGCTGTAGATCCAGGACTGAGGCTGTAGACCCAGGACTGAGGCTGTAGATCCAGGACTGAGGCTGTAGACCCAGGACTGAGGCTGTAGACCCAGGACTGAGGCTGTAGATCCAGGACTGAGGCTGTAGATCCAGGACTGAGGCTGTAGATCCAGGACTGAGGCTGTAGACCCAGGACTGAGGCTGTAGACCCAGGACTGAGGCTGTAGACCCAGGACTGAGGCTGTAGACCCAGGACTGAGGCTGTAGACCCAGGACTGAGGCTGTAGACCCAGGACTGAGGCTGTAGACCCAGGACTGAGGCTGTAGATCCAGGACTGAGGCTGTAGACCAGGACTGAGGCTGTAGACCCAGGACTGAGGCTGTAGACCCAGGACTGAGGCTGTAGACCCAGGACTGAGGCTGTAGACCCAGGACTGAGGCTGTAGACCCAGGACTGAGGCTGTAGACCCAGGACTGAGGCTGTAGACCCAGGACTGAGGCTGTAGACCCAGGACTGAGGCTGTAGACCCAGGACTGAGGCTGTAGACCCAGGACTGAGGCTGTAGACCCAGGACTGAGGCTGTAGACCCAGGACTGAGGCTGTAGACCCAGGACTGAGGCTGTAGACCCAGGACTGAGGCTGTAGACCCAGGACTGAGGCTGTAGACCCAGGACTGAGGCTGTAGACCCAGGACTGAGGCTGTAGACCCAGGACTGAGGCTGTAGACCCAGGACTGAGGCTGTAGACCCAGGACTGAGGCAGTAGACCCAGGACTGAGGCAGTAGACCCAGGACTGAGGCTGTAGACCCAGGACTGAGGCAGTAGACCCAGGACTGAGGCAGTAGACCCAGGACTGAGGCTGTAGACCCAGGACTGAGGCGTAGACCCAGGACTGAGGCAGTAGACCCAGGACTGAGGCTGTAGATCCAGGACTGAGGCAGTAGACCCAGGACTGAGGCTGTAGAACCAGGACTGAGGCTGTAGACCCAGGACTGAGGCTGTAGACCCAGGACTGAGGCTGTAGACCCAGGACTGAGGCTGTAGACCCAGGACTGAGACTGTAGACCCAGGACTGAGACTGTAGACCCAGGACTGAGGCTGTAGACCCAGGACTGAGGCTGTAGACCCAGGACTGAGGCAGTAGACCCAGGACTGAGGCAGTAGACCCAGGACTGAGGCTGTAGACCCAGGACTGAGGCAGTAGACCCAGGACTGAGGCTGTAGACCCAGGACTGAGGCTGTAGACCCAGGACTGAGGCTGTAGACCCAGGACTGAGGCTGTAGACCCAGGACTGAGGCAGTAGACCCAGGACTGAGGCAGTAGACCCAGGACTGAGGCTGTAGACCCAGGACTGAGGCTGTAGACCCAGGACTGAGGCAGTAGACCCAGGACTGAGGCTGTAGACCCAGGACTGAGACTGTAGACCCAGGACTGAGGCTGTAGACCCAGGACTGAGGCTTTACAAAAGTAATGAAGCGTATGAAACTGGAGTCAGGTGACTGTAGCAACGAGGAGAGGGCGTTGTCGTAGAAACCACCGGCGTGGTGGTCCTCGAAGCGGGCCACAGGTGTAAGTGTTCATTAACGTAGCAGCAAGTTACCCACCACACGCACAACCACACGCACAACCACACGCACAACCGCACGCACGACCACACGCACAACCACACGCACAACCACACGCACAACCACACGCACAACCACACGCACAACCGCACGCACGACCACACGCACAACCACACGCACAACCACACGCACAACCACACGCACAACCACACGCACAACCACACGCACAACCACACGCACAACCACACGCACAACCACACGCACGACCACACACACAACCACACGCACAACCACACGCACAACCACACGCACAACCACACGCACGACCACACACACGACCGCACGCACAACCACACACACGACCGCACGCACAACCACACGCACAACCACACGCACAACCACACGCACAACCGCACGCACAACCACACGCACAACCACACGCACAACCACACGCACAACCACACGCACAACCACACGCACAACCACACGCACAACCACACGCACGACCACACACACGACCGCACGCACGACCACCACACACGACCGCACGCACAACCACACGCACGACCACACGCACGACCACACGCACACCACACCACACGCACAACCACACGCACGACCACACGCACAACCACACGACCACACGACCAACCACACGCACGACCACACGCACAACCACACGCACAACCACACGCACAACCACACGACCGACCACACGCACAACCGCACGACCACACGCACGACCACACACACAACCACACGCACAACCACACGCACAACCACACGCACGACCACACGCACAACCACACGCACGACCACACGCACAACCGCACGACCACACGCACGACCGCACGCACAACCACACGCACAACCACACGCACAACCACACGCACAACCACACGCACAACCACACGCACGACCACACGCACAACCACACGCACAACCACACGCACAACCACACGACCACACGCACAACCACACGCACGCACAACCACCCACACGCACGACCACACGCACAACCACACGACCACACGCACAACCACACGCACAACCACACGACCACACGCACAACCACACGACCGACCACACGCACGACCACACGCACAACCACACGCACAACCACACGCACAACCACACGCACAACCACACGACCACACGCACAACCACACGCACAACCACACGACCACACGCACAACCACACGCACAACCACACGCACAACCACACGCACGACCACACGACCACACGCACAACCACACGACCACACGCACAACCACACGCACAACCACACGCACAACCACACGCACAACCACACGACCACACGCACAACCACACGCACAACCACACGACCACACGCACGACCGCACGCACAACCACACGCACAACCACACGACCACACGCACAACCACACGACCGACCACACGCACGACCACACGCACAACCACACGCACAACCACACGCACAACCACACGCACAACCACACGACACACGACCACACACGCACAACCGCACGACCACACACACGACCGCACGCACAACCACACGCACGACCGCACGACCACACACACAACCACACGCACAACCACACGACCACACGCACGACCACACGCACAACCACACGACCACACGCACGACCACACGACCACACGCACGACCACACGCACAACCACACGCACAACCACACGACCACACGCACGACCACACGCACCACACGCACACAACCACACGCACGACCACACAACCACACGCACAACCACACGCACAACCACACGCACGACCGCACGACCACACGCACAACCACACGCACGACCACACGACCACACGCACAACCACACGCACAACCACACGCACGACCGCACGACCACACGCACGACCACACGCACGACCACACGCACGACCACACGCACAACCACACGACCACACGCACGACCACACGCACAACCACACGACCACACGCACAACCACACGACCACACGCACAACCACACGCACAACCACACGCACGACCACACAACCACACGCACGACCACACGCACAACCACACGCACAACCACACGCACAACCACACGCACGACCACACGCACAACCACACGCACAACCACACGCACGACCACACGCACAACCACACGCACGACCACACGCACAACCACACGACCACACGCACAACCACACGCACCACACGCACACCACACGCACGACCACACGCACAACCACACGCACAACCACACGCACAACCACACGCACAACCACACGCACAACACGCACGACCACACGCACGACCACACGCACGACCACACGCACGACCACACGCACAACCACACGCACAACCACACGCACAACCGCACGCACGACCACACGCACAACCACACGCACAACCACACGCACAACCACACGCACAACCACACGCACAACCCACCGCACAACCGCACGCACAACCACACGCACAACACACGCACAACCACACGCACAACCACACGCACAACCACACGCACAACCACACGCACAACCACACGCACGACCACACGCACGACCACACACACAACCACACGCACAACCACACGCACAACCACACGCACAACCACACGCACGACCACACACACGACCGCACGCACGACCACACACACGACCGCACGCACAACCACACGCACAACCACACGCACAACCACACGCACAACCGCACGCACGACCACACGCACAACCACACGCACAACCACACGCACAACCACACGCACAACCACACGCACAACCACACGCACAACCACACGCACAACCACACGCACGACCACACACACGACCGCACGCACGACCACACACACGACCGCACGCACAACCACACGCACGACCACACGCACGACCACACGACCACACGCACAACCACACGCACAACCACACGCACAACCACACGACCACACGACCAACCACACGCACGACCACACGCACAACCACACGCACAACCACACGCACAACCACACGACCGACCACACGCACAACCGCACGACCACACGCACGACCACACACACAACCACACGCACAACCACACGCACAACCACACGCACGACCACACGCACAACCACACGCACGACCACACGCACAACCGCACGACCACACGCACGACCGCACGCACAACCACACGCACAACCACACGCACAACCACACGCACAACCACACGCACAACCACACGCACGACCACACGCACAACCACACGCACAACCACACGCACAACCACACGACCACACGCACAACCACACGCACAACCACACGCACAACCACACGCACGACCACACGCACAACCACACGACCACACGCACAACCACACGCACAACCACACGACCACACGCACAACCACACGACCGACCACACGCACGACCACACGCACAACCACACGCACAACCACACGCACAACCACACGCACAACCACACGACCACACGCACAACCACACGCACAACCACACGACCACACGCACAACCACACGCACAACCACACGCACGACCACACGCACAACCACACGACCACACGCACAACCACACGACCACACGCACAACCACACGCACAACCACACGCACAACCACACGACCACACGCACAACCACACGCACAACCACACGACCACACGCACGACCGCACGCACAACCACACGCACAACCACACGACCACACGCACAACCACACGACCGACCACACGCACGACCACACGCACAACCACACGCACAACCACACGCACAACCACACGCACACCACACGACCACACGCACAACCGCACGACCACACACACGACCGCACGCACAACCACACGCACGACCACACACACAACCACACGCACAACCACACGACCACACGCACGACCACACGCACAACCACACGACCACACGCACGACCACACGACCACACGCACGACCACACGCACAACCACACGCACAACCACACGACCACACGCACGACCACACGACCACACGCACAACCACACGCACAACCACACGCACGACCACACAACCACACGCACAACCACACGCACGACCGCACGACCACACGCACAACCACACGCACGACCACACGACCACACGCACAACCACACGCACAACCACACGCACGACCGCACGCACGACGCGCACGACCACACGCACGACCACACGCACGACCACACGCACGACCACACGCACAACCACACGACCACACGCACGACCACACGCACAACCACACGACCACACGCACAACCACACGACCACACGCACAACCACACGCACAACCACACGCACGACCACACGACCACACGCACGACCACACGCACAACCACACGCACAACCACACGCACAACCACACGCACGACCACACGCACAACCACACGCACAACCACACGCACGACCACACGCACAACCACACGCACGACCACACGCACAACCACACGACCACACGCACAACCACACGCACGACCACACGCACAACCACACGCACAACCACACGCACAACCACACGACCACACGCACGACCACACGCACGACCACACGCACGACCACACGCACGACCACACGCACGACCACACGCACAACCACACGCACAACCACACGCACGACCACACGCACAACCACACGCACAACCACACGCACGACCACACGCACAACCACACGCACGACCACACGCACAACCACACGCACAACCACACGACCACACGCACGACCACACGCACAACCACACGACCACACGCACAACCACACGACCACACGCACAACCACACGACCACACGCACAACCACACGCACGACCACACGCACAACCACACGCACGACCACACGCACAACCACACGCACAACCACACGCACGACCACACGCACAACCACACGGACGACCACACGCACAACCACACGACCACACGCACAACCACACGCACGACCACACGCACAACCACACAACCACACGCACGACCACACGCACAACCACACGCACAACCACACGCACGACCACACGCACGACCACACGCACAACCACACGCACAACCACACGCACGACCACACGCACAACCACACGCACAACCACACGCACGACCACACGACCACACGCACAACCACACGCACAACCACACGCACAACCACACGCACGACCACACGCACAACCACACGCACAACCACACGCACGACCACACGCACAACCACACGCACAACCACACGCACGACCACACGACCACACGCACAACCACACGCACGACCACACGCACGACCACACGCACGACCACACGCACAACCACACGCACAACCTCACGACCACACGCACGACCACACGCACAACCACACGCACGACCACACGACCACACGCACGACCACACGCACAACCACACGCACGACCACACGACCACACGCACAACCACACGCACAACCACACGACCACACGCACGACCACACGACCACACGCACAACCACACGCACAACCACACGCACGACCGCACGACCACACGCACAACCACACGCACGACCGCACGACCACACGCACGACCACACGCACAACCACACGACCACACGCACGACCACACGCACAACCACACGCACGACCACACGCACAACCACACGACCACACGCACAACCACACGACCACACGCACAACCACACGACCACACGCACAACCACACGCACGACCACACGACCACACGCACGACCACACGCACAACCACACGCACAACCACACGCACAACCACACGCACGACCACACGCACAACCACACGCACAACCACACGCACGACCACACGCACAACCACACGCACGACCACACGCACAACCACACGACCACACGCACAACCACACGCACGACCACACGCACGACCACACGCACAACCACACGCACAACCACACGCACGACCACACGCACAACCACACGCACAACCACACGCACGACCACACGCACAACCACACGCACGACCACACGCACAACCACACGCACAACCACACGACCACACGCACGACCACACGCACAACCACACGACCACACGCACAACCACACGACCACACGCACAACCACACGACCACACGCACAACCACACGCACGACCACACGCACAACCACACGCACAACCACACGCACGACCACACGCACAACCACACGCACAACCACACGCACGACCACACGCACAACCACACGCACGACCACACGCACAACCACACGACCACACGCACAACCACACGCACGACCACACGCACAACCACACAACCACACGCACGACCACACGCACAACCACACGCACAACCACACGCACGACCACACGCACGACCACACGCACAACCACACGCACAACCACACGCACGACCACACGCACAACCACACGCACAACCACACGCACGACCACACGACCACACGCACAACCACACGCACGACCACACGCACAACCACACGCACGACCACACGCACAACCACACGCACAACCACACGCACGACCACACGCACAACCACACGCACAACCACACGCACGACCACACGACCACACGCACAACCACACGCACGACCACACGCACAACCACACGCACGACCACACGCACGACCACACGCACAACCACACGCACGACCACACGCACAACCACACGACCACACGCACGACCACACGCACGACCACACGCACAACCACACGCACGACCACACGCACGACCACACGACCACACGCACGACCACACAACCAGACGCACAACCACACGACCACACGCACGACCACACGCACAACCACACAACCACACGCACGACCACACAACCACACGCACAACCACACAACCACACGCACGACCACACAACCACACGCACGACCACACGACCACACGCACGACCACACGCACAACCACACGCACGACCACACGCACAACCACACGACCACACGCACAACCACACGCACGACCACACGCACAACCACACGCACGACCACACGCACAACCACACGACCACACGCACAACCACACGCACGACCACACGCACAACCACACGCACAACCACACGCACGACCACACGCACGACCACACGCACGACCACACGCACAACCACACGCACGACCACACGCACAACCACACGCACAACCACACGCACGACCACACGCACAACCACACGCACGACCACACACACAACCACACGCACGACCACACGCACAACCACACGCACAACCACACGACCACACGCACGACCACACGCACGCCACACGACCACACGCACACCACACGCACCACACGCACAACCACACGACCACACGCACGACCACACGCACAACCACACGACCACACGCACAACCACACGACCACACGACCGACCACACGCACAACCACACGACCACACGCACAACCACACGACCACACGCACAACCACACGACCACACGCACGACCACACGCACGACCACACGCACAACCACACGACCACACGCACAACCACACGCACGACCACACGCACAACCACACGCACAACTACACGCACGACCACACGCACGACCACACGCACGACCACACGCACAACCACACGCACGACCACACGCACAACCACACGCACAACCACACGACCACACAACCACACGCCCACGACCGCACGCACGACCACACGACCACACGCACGACCACACGCACAACCACACGACCACACGCACGACCACACGCACAACCACACGACCACACGCACAACCACACGACCACACGACCGACCACACGCACAACCGCACGCACAACCACACGACCACACGCACGACCACACGCACGACCGCACGCACAACCACACGACCACACGCACAACCACACGCACGACCGACCACACGCACGACCACACGCACGACCACACGCACAACCACACGACCACACACACACCACACGCACAACCACACGCACGACCACACGCACAACCACACGACCCACGCACGACCACACGCACGACCGCACACGCACCCACACGCACGACCACACGCACACCACACGACACACGCACGACCACACGCACAACCACACGCACGACCACACGCACAACCACACGACCACACCACAACACAGCACGACCACACGCACAACCACACGCACAACCACACGCACAACCACACGCACAACCACACGCACAACCACACGCACCCACACGCACGACCACACGCACGACCACACGCACGCACGACCACACGCACAACCACACGCACAACCACACGCACAACCACACGCACGACCACACGCACAACCACACGACCACACGCACGACCACACGCACGACCACACGCACGACCACACGACCGCACGCACAACCACACGCACGACCACACGCACGACCACACGCACAACCACACGCACAACCACACGCACGACCACACGCACAACCACACGACCACACGCACAACCACACGCACGACCACACGCACGACCACACGACCACACGCACAACCACACGACCACACAACCACACGCACGACCACACGCACAACCACACGCACAACCACACGACCACACGCACAACCACACGCACGACCACACGCACGACCACACGCACAACCACACGACCACACGACCACACGCACGACCACACGCACAACCACACGCACAACCACACGCACGACCACACGCACAACCACACGACCACACGCACGACCACACGCACAACCACACGCACGACCACACGACCACACGACCACACGCACGACCACACGACCACACGCACAACCACACGCACAACCACACGACCACACGCACAACCGCACGCACAACCACACGCACGACCACACGCACAACCACACGCACGACCACACGACCACACGCCACGCACAACCACACGCACGACCACACGCACGACCACACGCACGCACAACCACACGCACGACCACACGCACGACCACACGCACAACCACACGCACGACCACACGCACAACCACACGCACGCACCACACGCACAACCACACGCACGACCACACGCACACGACCACACGCACAACCACACGCACGACCACACGCACAACCACACGACCACACGACCACACGCACGACCACACGCACAACCACACGCACGACCACACGCACGACCACACGCACAACCACACGCACAACCACACGCACAACCACACGCACGACCACACGCACAACCACACGACCACACGCACGACCACACGCACGACCACACGACCGCACGCACAACCACACGCACGACACCGCACAACCACACGCACAACCACACGCACAACCACACGACCACACGCACAACCACACGCACGACCACACGCACAACCACACGCACGACCACACGACCACACGCACAACCACACAACCACACGCACAACCACACGACCACACGCACGACCGCACGCACACACGCACACACACGCACACCACACGCACGACCACACGCACGACCACACGCACAACCACACGCACAACCACACGCACGACCACACGCACACGACCACACGACCACACGCACGACCCACACGACCACACGCACAACACACGCACAACCACACGACCACACGACCACACGCACAACCGCACGCACAACCACACGCACGACCACACGCACAACCACACGCACGACCACACGACCGCACGCACACCACCACACGCACGACCACACGCACGACCACACGCAACCACACGCACGACCACACGCACACACCACACACGCACGACCCGCACACGCACAACCACACGACCACACGCACAACCACACGCACGACCACACGCACAACCACACGCACAACCACACGCACACCACACGCACAACCACACGCCACACGCACGACACACACCACACGCACGACCACACGCACGACCACACCACACACCACACGCACGACCACACGACACCCGACACACGACCCACACGCACGACAACCACACGCACACGCACGACCACACCACGACAACCACACGACACGCACACGCAAACCACACGCACGACCACACGCACACGACACACGCACGACCACACGACCACACGCACACCACACGCCGACCACACGACACACGACCACACAAACACACGCACACCACACCCACACGCACGACCACACGCACAACCACACGACCACACGCACGACCACACGCACGACCACACGCACGACCACACGACCACACGCACCCACACGCACGACACGACCACACACACGCACAACCACACGCACACCACACGACCACACGCACGACCACACGCACACCACGACCACACGCACAACCACACGCACGACCACACACACGACACACGCACCACACGCACGACCACACGCACAACCACACGCACACCACACACACACGCACAACCACACGACCCACGCACGACCACACGCACAACCACACGCACCACACGCACACCACACGCACGACCACACGCACACACGCACAACCACACGCACAACCACACAACCACACGACCGACCACACGCACGACCACACGCACAACCACACGACCACACGCACAACCACACGACCACACGCACAACCACACGACCACACGCACAACCGCACGCACAACCACACGCACAACCACACGACCACACGCACAACCGCACGCACAACCACACGACCACACGCACAACCACACGCACGACCGCACGCACAACCACACGACCACACGCACGACCACACGCACAACCACACGCACGACCGCACGCACAACCACACGACCACACGCACGACCACACGCACAACCACACGACCACACGCACAACCACACGCACGACCGCACGCACAACCACACGACCACACGCACAACCACACGACCACACGCACGACCACACGCACTACCACACGCACAACCACACGCACAACCACACGACCACACGCACAACCGCACGCACAACCACACGCACAACCACACGCACGACCGCACGCACAACCACACGACCACACGCACGACCACACGCACAACCACACGCACGACCACACGCACGACCGCACGACCACACGCACGACCACACGCACAACCACACGCACAACCACACGCACAACCACACGCACGACCACACGCACAACCACACGCACGACCACACGCACAACCACACGCACAACCACACGACCACACGCACAACCGCACGCACAACCACACGACCACACGCACAACCACACGCACAACCACACGACCACACGCACGACCACACGCACAACCACACGCACGACCACACGCACAACCACACGCACAACCACACGCACGACCGCACGCACAACCACACGACCACACGCACAACCACACGCACGACCACACGCACGACCACACGCACGACCACACGCACAACCACACGCACGACCACACGCACAACCACACGCACAACCGCACGCACGACCACACGCACAACCACACGCACAACCACACAACCACACGCACGACCACACGCACAACCACACACGACCACACGCACGACCACACGACCGACCACACGCACGACCACACAACCACACGCACAACCACACAACCACACGCACGACCACACACACGACCACACGCACAACCACACGCACAACCACACGCACAACCACACGACCACACGCACAACCACACGCACGACCACACGCACAACCACACGCACAACCACACGACCACACGCACAACCACACACACGACCACACGCACGACCACACGCACGACCGCACGCACAACCACACGCACGACCACACGCACAACCACACACACGACCACACGCACAACCACACACACGACCACACGCACGACCACACGCACGACCACACGCACGACCACACGCACGACCACACGCACAACCACACGCACGACCACACGACCACACGCACGACCACACGCACGACCACACGCACAACCACACGCACAACCACACGCACAACCACACGCACAACCACACGACCACACGCACGACCGCACGCACGACCACACGCACAACCACACGCACAACCACACGACCACACGCACGACCACACGCACGACCACACGCACAACCACACGCACAACCACACAACCACACGCACAACCACACACACGACCACACGACCGACCGCACGCACAACCACACGACCACACGCACAACCACACGCACAACCACACGCACGACCGCACGCACAACCACACGACCACACGCACAACCACACGCACGACCACACGCACGACCACACGCACAACCACACGCACAACCACACGACCACACGCACGACCACACGACCGACCACACGCACGACCACACGACCACACGCACGACCACACGCACGACCACACGCACAACCACACGCACAACCACACGACCACACGCACAACCACACGCACGACCACACGCACGACCACACGCACGACCGCACGCACAACCACACGACCACACGCACAACCACACGCACAACCACACGCACGACCGCACGCACAACCACACGACCACACGCACAACCACACGCACGACCACACGCACAACCACACGCACAACCACACGCACAACCACACGCACAACCACACGCACGACCACACGCACAACCACACGCACGACCACACGCACGACCACACGCACGACCACACGCACGACCACACGCATGAAGCACCTGCAGCCGTGTCTTGTCTTAGCCGTGTCACAGCCGTGTCTCAGCCGTGTCTCAGCCGTGTCACAGCCGTGTCTCAGCCGTGTCTTAGCCGTGTCTCAGCCGTGTCACAGCCGTGTCTCAGCCGTGTCACAGCCGTGTCTCAGCCGTGTCTTAGCCGTGTCTCAGCCGTGTCACAGCCGTGTCTCAGCCGTGTCTCAGCCGTGTCACAGCCGTGTCTCAGCCGTGTCTCAGCCGTGTCTTAGCCGTGTCTCAGCCGTGTCACAGCCGTGTCTCAGCCGTGTCTTAGCCGTGTCGTAGCTGCCGTGTTTTGCAGATGCTTTGGACTTTTATGCCACTATAATAACAGAGAGTTAGCGTAATATCTCAGTAGCGTTAAAGTGTCAGCGCCAAAACAAAAGTCCTGCTGACGTCACGTGAACAGTGTGTGTTAAAGATGGCGACTGTAAAGAGTTAAAGACCTTATGACGGGTTTGATTTATTTAGAAATACAGTTTTAATACCATTTTATATTAGAAGAGAACTACTAAAGGTTTCAAAATCAGTTGTTGTTTTTTTTGTCTGATTCCCCCAAATCGAAATAACCCCATAGCAACGCCCTTAGAGACGAAAAAACTTCACAGCCCTTGGTGACGTCAGAACGGGTACGTTTCAACGCTGTAAGTTGTTTACAATTTGGTATTCGTTCTTTTTTCGCGGATATTCAAGATGACAAGGCCGTGTACAGCGAGTCTGACATAAATACTAGATTGTAACATTTCGTTGTCACTGAGATAGTCCAGTGGTTGTGTCGATGGAATTCCAATCCAGAGACTTGGGTTCAAATCCCACCTCAGACACTTTTTCACACTCAAAACGGCAATTTATGTGTAGTGAGCAATTGTCACCTGTAGAGGGCAGTATTGTGTTGGGCATCAGTGGAGAGAAGAGAGAAAAGACAGTCCTGTGCTCCTCTCCGTCCACCGAGCTCCTTCTCCGAGGCCACTCTTCGCCCCGACCACTCTGATTATTGGAGATTCCATCGTGAGACACGTCCGCTTCTTCAACGCGGTCACTCGCTGTATTCCCGGAGCTACTGTACCAGACCTGCTCATACGTCTCCCTCCTCTGCTTCAGTCCCTGCCTGATACCGTTTCCAAGGTAGTCGTGCATGTGGGAATTAACGACATGAAACTTCAGCAGTCAGAAGTCACGAAGAAACATTTTATGGATCTGTTCCACCTCCTTCAATCCTCCGGACTATCTGTTTTTATTTCTGGTCCAATCCCGACTGTAAACAGAGGTGACTGCCTCTACAGTCGTGTTGTGGCGCTGCATATGTGGCTTCAGGCTACATGCAGCTCTTTTAACTTTGTCTTTGTGAATAACTTTGCCCTTTTCTGGAAACGTTACGAAGCCTATCGTCCAGACGGATTACACCCAAACAGATACGGTAGCAGCCTGTTGATGGATTACATGCGTCATGTTGTTCAGCGTTCCCCGAGGGGGGCGTGACTGTTTACATCTGAGCCCCCTCGGACCCCACCGCACTCCCCCGCCTCCTGCTCACCAGCACCGGGTGAGTACAACGGTGCAAACACTGCTCCCTGTCCGTCTGGCAGTGCATTACCAGTCCAAACACTGAACTGTGCTGACTCCCTTCTGACTCTGGGAGCTAAAGAACAACAAGGGTTTTCACATTTTAGTCCAATTGAGACTGTGTGTGTTCCTCGCACCAGCTCAAAAATGTTTTTAAATTCTAAAAAACGAAATCAAAACAGGACAGCAGTTAGACGGTCCAACCCTGCAAATCTAATTTCTGTTCCCTGTAGAAATCAATCAACCACATTAATCGACTCTGACGTTATTTTTAAACTTGCTATGCTTAATGTCAGATCTCTATGTAACAAATCATTTTTAATTAATAATTTTATCACTTCTTATGATCTTGATTTTATGCTTATGGCTGAAACATGGCTCGACCAAAATACAGGAAATGCAGTTCTAATAGAAGCAACACCACCCAATTTTAAATTCGAATCCGAAATACGAGAAAACAAAAGGGGGGGAGGCATAGCTGCAGTTTTTAGAGAGCACTTTGTCTCCCATAGAATGCCCCTTGGAAATTTTTCATCGTTTGAGTATATTTCTTTTAAAATGGAACAAAAGCAATCTTCTACTCTTTTCATTGTCCTGTACAGGCCACCACAGTCATGTTGCGATTTTATTGACCATTTTACTGAACTACTTTCATTCGTGTGCACAGATTTTGATAGTTTAGTTATTACAGGTGATTTTAATGTACATGTTGATAATGTTGATGACAGAAATGCAAAGGAGCTGGCTTCTGTATTTGAGACCTTTGGTTTCATTCAGCACGTGAGTGGCCCCACCCACAGCAGGGGGCACACTCTTGACCTGCTAATTACAAAGGGGGTTAATGTATCAAATGTTAATGTAGTTGATGTTGCTTTGTCAGATCATTTCTGTGTATTTTTTGACATGTGTTTTGCTAGCAAACCACCAGCTGAATTTACAACTGTTAGAAGAAGACACATACATGAAAACACAAGTGAACTGTTCATGGGAATGCTAAATTTTGAGAAAACTCCATGCTCTACTGTTGATGAATTGTATAACTCTGTCACCACCAGTGTTCTGACTGTTCTGGACGCCATTGCTCCTGTGACGGTTAAAATAGTTACCAGTAAGAAAAAGGCCCCATGGACTAAGGCAGACTCGGTTAGGGCACAGAAGCAAGAGTGCCGGAGGGCCGAACGGAAGTGGCGAAAGTCCAATTTCCAGGGCGATTATGAAATCTTTAAAGATGAGTTGGGTGAATTTAACCGGGTTCTACGTAGAACAAGAGAAATGTATTTTTCTGGCATTATTGGAGGTTGCAGTAACAATTTTCGTGTTATGTTTTCAACAGTTGGTAGATTAACGAACCCCCCTGTAAAGTTGCCCCTAGAATTTTCCTCTAAATCTAGGTGTAATGAGTTCGCACAGTTTTTCGATGACAAAGTACAAGGAATCAAAAACACTATCACCTCCACAGCACGTATAACAATGCAACAGCCAGAGAAGCTTTTTGAGCTAACTCACTTTGCACCTGTGGATACTGAAACTGTCAAAAAGATAATCATGAGTCTGAGCTCCTCCACATGTAGCCTGGATATATTGCCCTCTAAATTTCTGAAGTCCGTCCTGAGCAGTTTGTTACCTTCACTGACACAAATAGTAAACATGTCTCTGTCGTCAGGAACATTTCCTATGGCCCTAAAAACAGCAGTCATAAGACCTCTCCTAAAAAAGAGCAGTCTGGATCCTGCGGGACTTCAAAATTATCGCCCCATATCGAATCTGCCATTTATTGGAAAAATTCTTGAAAAAGTGGCCTCCCAACAACTTACTGAATTTTTAACAATGAATAATTCTTTTGATATGTTCCAGTCTGGGTTTAGACCCCACCACAGCACTGAGACCGCTCTAGTGAAGGTAACAAACGACATTCGACTTCACACTGATGCAGGTAAAGTCACAGTTTTGGTCATGTTAGATCTTAGTGCCGCGTTCGACACTGTCGACCATGAGATCCTCATGCAGAGACTGGAGGACTGGGTTGGTGTCACTGGCACAGCCCTAGACTGGTTTAGGTCTTACCTGGAGGATAGGAAGTACTCTGTGGAGATTGGAGACTGCGTCTCAGATGATGTGGCCCTGACCTGTGGTGTACCACAGGGGTCGATCCTGGGACCTCTCCTATTTAATCTCTACATGCTGCCGTTAGGTCAGTTAATACAAAGAAACAAAGTGTCCTACCACAATTACGCTGACGACACTCAGATCTATGTCTCACTGACTGCAGGAGAACATGGACCACTGGATTTGCTCCTTCACTGTATCCAACAGATCAGTGACTGGATGCAAAATAATTTCCTCCAGCTAAATGCAGACAAAACCGAAATCATTGTCTTTGGTCCCCAGAAACAAAGAGAGGGCGTCATTTGTCAACTTCAGTCTCTCTCCCTACTTCCTTCAGACAAGGTCAGAAATTTGGGGGTAATACTGGACTCAGACCTAAATTTCAATAGCCACATAAAATCAATAACATCAACAGCTTTTTACCATCTGAAGAACATTGCCAAAGTTAGAAATATAGTGTCCAGGGCAGACTTGGAGATTCTTGTCCATGCATTTGTCTCCAGCAGGCTAGACTACTGCAATGGCCTGCTTACAGGTCTGTCCAAACAGACCTGTAAGCAGCTGCAGTACATCCAAAATGCAGCAGCTAGAGTCCTGACAGGAACCAGGAAGTATGACCATATTAGTCCGGTCCTCAGGTCTCTGCACTGGCTCCCTGTGGCTCAAAGAATAGATTTTAAAACGGCTCTGCTTGTGTACAAGTCTCTCCATGGCCTTGCACCAGAATACATTAGTGACATGTTGGTGTCATATGAACCGGCCCGGACTCTGAGGAGCACAGGGACTGGCCTCCTGCTGGTGCCCAGAGTGAGAACCAAACATGGGGAGGCTGCGTTTCAGATCCATGCAGCTAAGATCTGGAACAATCTCCCTGAAAATGTGAGGGAGGCGTCTACTCTGTCAATGTTCAAATCCAGGTTAAAGACTGTTCTGTTTGCCTGTGCATATAACTGAAGGATTTTATCTCCATTTTTAATGCACTGCTGTCATTTATTTATTTTTTTAAATTTCTTGTGTAATTTTGAAAGTTTTAATGGTTTTATTCTTTTGTGTGATTTTAATGTTTTAATTGTGTTTTAATCTTTTGTGTGATCTTAATGTTTTAATTGTGATTCTGGTGTTTGTTTTATGTGATGATTTGTGATGTGGACTGTGAAGCGCTTTGTGTTGCCCTGTGTATGAAAGGCGCTCTACAAATAAACTTTGATTGATTGATTGATAGATCCATGGTTTTCAATGCATGGGCGTTACCCGCTGTGACGTCACACACAGGTTAGAGCATAGACAACTTAAATTCATGAAAAACACCTTCTTTTTAT